CCCGGGTTGCGTGGCCTGCCGGGCTGATCCCGAACCCCGCGTGCTCGGGAAGGATCCTCCCACGTCCCCCCCTTCCGCCCTCCCCCCCGGATCCGCGCGCTGGATTCACCTGCGGCGGTTTCAGACGCCGCTTCCCCGCCCTGCCCCGGAAGGTCGGAGCCCACGGGCCCGGGAGCAGCGTGGCGAAAGCTACCGGGTGACTCTCCCGGGCGCAAACCTTTGGGTGAACCAGCAGGTGTGGTTGTGCCGAGGTTTTCAAAAGCGTGGGAACGCTGGGGGCGCACGTGCTGGGTTGCCCTGTGCTTCCTCTCATTTTTCTGCCTCCGAGATGATGGACTTTCCAGCTCCTTCGCGGTTCTGAGACTTCGCTGTGTCCAGCCACCAGGCCATGGCTGGAGTGTAAGCGCCACTCATGTCGCGGGGCCACGAGGAGCGCTGGCCTCCGCGCCGCGAGGGCAGGCGGGAGCCCCTACCTCAGGGGCCGGGCCCGGGGGCTCCTTTCCCACCTGCCTGAGTCCTCAAAGCTCTCTGATCCGTTTCAAGTTGGTCTCATTTCCTCGCTCTCCCTTTAAATGTCTAGCGCTGCACACGGTGACTGATTATTTCTTATCTTTGGCCAAGACCCACTTCAACATTTTCAACAAGCGCTGGTACAGTTGGTGCCAGCTGCGCAAAACAAAACAAAACAAAAAAAACACAAAAAATCCCCTCTATCCCTACTTCCCGCTGTTTCAAAAATTAACTTGAAATAGGTCATAGACCTAAATGTAAAACCCAGAGCTAAACATTTCTAGATGAGAACATGGGGGACGATCTTGATGATCTTGGGTTAGGCAAAACATTCCTTAGATTCTGAGGTGACATGAATGCATATAGGGAAGGTGATGGTGTCAGCTTTTCCGGAGAGGTGAGTCCCTTCTTCCTGTTGGGCATGACACAGCCCTGCTGATAAGTGAAGAAACATTTGTGACTTGAGTAGCAGGTGGTATTAATGCTGGGAGCCCTTTGGCTAAAGAATTTGTCTTTGCAGAATTTTTAAAAAACGTATTTTTATGGATTTCAGAGAGGGAGAGAGAGAAACATCAATGATGAGAGAGAATCATTGATCGGCTACCTCCTGCACGCCCCACACTGGGGGTCGGGCCCACAACCCGGGCATGTGCCCTTGACCAGAATCGAACCCAGGACCCTACAGTCCGCAGGCCGACGCTCTATCCACTGAGCCAAACCGGCCAGGACCCAGTCCCCATTTTTCAAGCACCACCGAATGGGACACAGAGCCTCCTGATTTTACCTTGTCATCTCTAAGTCATTCACTTAGAGCAGTGATTCCCATAGTGGGCGCTACCGTCCCCCCGCGCCCCGCCCCACCCCCCTGGGGTCCGTAGCGGACACTGGGGAGCGGGATTGACCCGAGAGCTCTTGAGGGCGAGAGAAAATTGCGAAATAGATTTTTAAAAAATTAATTTTGACGGGCGTGTGCAATTTTTTTCTCGAAAGAGGA